CTTGAAGTAGAAATCATTACGAAACGCTTTAAGTGTCTCTCTTAATAATGCGTAAAGGAAAACAGTAAGTAAATAGGTTCACCAAGGGACTCAGCTTTTGTTCAGTTATAGGTTTAGCTAGATTATAGCCTCTTGATTCTTCTGGGCTTCTTTTCATGGATCTGCGTCGAGTTGAATGCTAATCGACATTTTATCGGCTCTCAAACCCAAGAAAATATCAACAGGGTAGTGGTTAAGCAAAACAACAATCAAATAAGTGGTTTGGTTCCTTCGCCCTCACACAAGCCAAAGCGCGAATCATGGCCAGAATCAGCTAAAGCCAGCCAATCCAAGTGCCAGAATCAGCCGTAGCCAGAAAATCCAAGTAGCCATAATCAGCCAGCCAATCCAGGTAGCGCTGCCAGTTAGGCAACCTGAGACGAACACCCATATAAGCATTAGTCGGTGTCCGTACGTGACACATTCACGTCCGTACCGTCAGCCACGTAATACATTACATTAAGTATTCCGTGGTTCACTGCCGTCCATGAGTCGTCACTTCCAGGGCTCGAATCCATGCATAGCGCAAGTTTTACTAGCAATGCGAGGATGTTCTTTGTTTTGGACAGGTTCATCTCGTGGTCTTTTATAATACTTCCGTATTCTTAAATGACCCTCTGATCACCAGCTTTGACCGTGGGTATAGCAGTTCACTAGTGTCCAAAGTACTTTCTCTGCTTCGTGCACGTGCATAACCGGCAATGCACACGCACGAACCACGTGGGAAGCAACCAATTATCCTGTGAACGTGTTTAAATGCAACATCTTAGATTTCGAGTGTTCGTTCGAAAGGTTGACCATAAGATCTGATTCACAAGCTGAAACTTTCACAAAATGTTAGGGGGGGGGGGAATTTTTTATATCATTGTTCCAAAGCGTTTAGAGCGTTCCTAATGTCCATATTTGATTGTTTCTTCTGAGCATTTTAGCTTATCATTAATTCCCATAATGAATTACCACCCATTGCATAATTTTCTTTAGGGTTTTTCTATTTGACCCCAACTACGGATGCCGTGTACCTTTATACGCCAACAGATGCGCCATCAAAAACAGAAAGACAGGTAGGTTTTTTTGGGAAATAGCTGCTTTTGCAGCCACCGCAACGAGGTCGAGATGATAGTTCTGGTTCCTAACAAGTTCTATGTTCACTTCAAGGTCAATCAATTTCTCAGATAATCCACGACTTGTGGCCACTGACAGAGGACAACTACGTTCCGGGACGAGCTGTAACTCAAAGTCGAGAAGCTCAGGTGAGCATCCTTGCCTTTTATTTCTAATTCACTGTGTTTTCCTTAATTCTCTGCAAGGGTCATCCCTGTCTTAACAGTTCTCATCATCAAATCTTTATTTGGTCTTTTAGCGATAATCCTATGCCTTTTGCTCCACGCCTTAATCAGTATTATACACTTACTTGATTGACCGGTAACCCTAGCTAATATTGGCTTGCTCGGAAAGTTTCCTCCGATTTTCACGAGTTTTCCTTCGATTTTCAGTCTCAAATTCAGAAAGCGCATTATCTCAGTTTCAACGAAATCCTTCTGATCAAAAAGAATAACAAACTATTATCATTCTCTATACCGTTGCCCAATAGAAGAGTTCAAACTCGATCCGGATATTGGAAGTGCGAGGTTTTGCAGGCGAGAGACTTGGCCTAGGTCGCTTCACCATCTGGTTGGGATTCAGTGATTCATACCTTAAAGGCAAACTCCGGAATTAAACTGGTGCTAAGAGCGCTTCGTAGTGATAGCTTAGCTGCGGAGCGACCCGAAAGTGGAGAGGAAAGCGAGAGAAACTCTTTGGGAACGCTGAAATTAAGGCCTTAACCTTCAAAAAGGTCGGATGTGGTACGATGGAACACGCGAGAGAGAACGTCGTTTGAGAGAGCACGCTGATCTCTACATCAATGCACGCTGATCTCACCACATCTCGCGGTGGGTGGGAAGCGTTCGATGGTTGGAGGCCCGTAAGGATTAGCGCCCTAACCGCGCAATTTTCGCGACCAAGTTGAAGTGATCTAGGTAGGTACGGGTCTTACAATTTCCCTCGCGGTATCCTTCCTACCTGTCAGGCTAATCCCGGTTGCTTTGGAAAGACTGTCCAGAGGCTAGCTAAAGATAGCATCAGGCAGGCAAGAGGTCTACTGTGCAAAATGTTCACAGTACCAAAGTTCTGTAGCTTCAGCGTTCTTAGAAGTGCGAGATGGGCTGTGCACCTGGAAAAAGGATCCGCCTTACACCTTTGTTGCCCATTCGCTGACGTTTCTGTTGGAACCTATACATATACAATTGGAATCTCCAGCCAACTTCCCACTATAAAGAAAGTGGCCTGCCTCACAGCTCACATACAGACTGTGGGTATCAGAATCCTCATTTCGTCCTGCCAAACTCTGATATCGACCTTCATGATATATCTTTCGACGCTGCCGATACTCTGTTTTGATTCTATTTTTTTATTCGGAGTACAGGAATACATATGTAATTATTGAAGTACAGAATGACAATAGTATAAGCAATAGAAAATTTGATAAAATAAAATAAAATATATGGACGATAAATGATAGAATTTACATGTTACGAATTAATCTTATAGGATAGGAATATAAGGCACAGAGATATAATGGCTGAAGAAATAAGTGTCGGTGTATCTGCGCAAGTACACTTTGTTCCTTCTAACCCGTTACTACCACCACTTGCAGCTCACCGTCGTTGCCAAGAATGGCGGAAATATTCTTTTGCCTGAATACGCACGAGCGATCAAGAGACTGGACATGTACATTCAGAACAGAATTCGGGTTCGTTGCGTTTGCTTTTCCTCAAGATGACCATTTTCTGTCGTAAATATGTTTTTTTTTTACTTCTGTGTTTTGCTCCAATCTAATTCTTATTCTTTAAAAGCTAAGTTTTGGCCACTTCCTTTTTCACCTTGATTGTAACTGAATTATCCTACGAATAGAGATGTTAAATGAATTGTTAATCAATTCTGTGTTCGCATTTTGTTTTATTGTTAAATCAACTACAGTTCGCGGAGACTTATTCGCAATACTTTTTCATCTAACAAGTCGCAACATTGAAGGGTTTTTTCGTGCCTGCCGGAACCTCGTCAACCCATATGTCGGTACAGTACCGCGAACGGGGGGTCGTATTTTGGTGAGTTTGTAGGGGGGGGTCGTACTTGCTTAGGTTATAAGAAGTGGCATGTGATGAGAGGGGAGCGGCGCGGGAGAAAATTTGCCGTGCTTCAGCGCGCGGATATACCTCCCGCCTAGAAAATGGATCGCGCTGAAATATGGGTGAACACATGGGAATTGTGGGAAATGTAGGGAATTTTTACTGTTTTAGGTGAGTATATACCCCCCGCTCGACGGTAATTTTTTGGGGTAAAAAATTGGTCGAAAGGGGGGGGGTCGTAGGAAACTTTCCTGAAGGAGGGGGTCGTAAAAACTTTTCGAAAAGTAGCAACGATAGGACTGACCCTGCTTGCGGTCCCGGTCAAAGCTTTCAGCCGCGTCAGGATCAACAACGGCTCTTTCAGGAGTGCATTTCCCTGAATTGCCCATAACCTTTTATTATTCCCAGGTGAAATTTCGCAACAAAACCTACACTTACCGAGATCTTTGTCTCCGATGGAAAAAGAAAGGCTGTCCGGGAAATGGACACATCCAGGTCATTTCCGAACTGTACAACCACGGCATCAACATCACCTACCCAACGTTCCGCATGGGAAGCAAGTGAGTGGCACTTGCGGAATTTGTCGGCATATTTTCAATTCAAAATAAATTTTCAGGAGTGGCTATTTGGGTGCCGGATTGGGAGGTGTTTCCTTGAGCAAGGACGATAACGGCACTGTCATCCTGGCTGCAGCCAAAGCTTGGTTGCTAGTTTATCAGCTGAAGTTCTTCCCTACGAATGTTTCGTATGTATCCGGAGTTTGGGAGAAGGTATGGAGAATTTTTGAATTCTCGACCGGCACCCGAGTGCAGCAATACCTGGCCAGTAAGGGGTCCCCAAGTGGCGTGAACACGTCCACCTATTCTTGACCATGTGGACTGCGTCATCGACTGGAGTAGAGACGAGAGTTTTGGGGACCCATCCCCGGCCGGGGCTTGCTGCACCCGGCTCTGCAAGTATTATTACCTCTACTTAAAAGCACATTCCGCGACTGAATAAGTAAATGTTGTTGCATCCGAAAATAAAGGTACATAGTTTAGGTGGTTGGTCAATCAGTGATGAACGAGAGCGAGAAAAGAAAACAGCTCGAAACCCATAAAATCACATTGCGACCGATCGTATGGGCGGGGTTTGCAGTCCGCTCCTACGGGAATTCGATTGGCTGACTCCATCCCTTTACCTTTATTTCACCACATCAGGTGAACGGTTAGCCAATGAGAATTCCGAAGGGTAAGACGCAAGCTCCGCCCACACGATCAGCACACTATTCAATTTCAAAGGTTCCGAGCGCACGTTTTGCTTTCTTCATTACAGTGGACTAATCACCACAACTAGATTCATTTCCGAGCGCAATACCCTCACCTATTCAACCGTGTAACGTGCCTTTAAATTCGATACAGTTTTTTGTTGATTATACTAATTGCCTGATGACCATTTCAGTCGTTCAAAATGCACATGGATCACTATCCAGTTGATCCGTACATAACCATCACGTACTTCCACTCGCAGACCTTAGCCGAGGAGCTAAAACGAAATGCGGACAGTTTAGTTCCCAGGTAAGCAGTACCCGTGTCACTTTCTCATCTGAATCTGTTTAAACTGCTGCCTTTTCGAAGATCCAGAGAACACGGTCACGTGGCGTTCTCATGGAGAAGAATGGGTCCATCTTAGCACCCTCCTTAAAAATTCTTCAGCACACGGACCAAGGAATAACCACGCTCATATTCGTGGAACAGCGTTCCATAATGAAATTGTAAATGCCTAGTTGATCAAAAACAGAAAAGAAACGTACCAAATCTCAATGGAAGAGGACCCCTCTCTACCCTTTTTCCTTGAAATGATGGGGGGCGTGATCGGACGAGTTGTCGGAACTTGGCTTGCTCCACGGCTCCACTCACCTAGTAATCTATATTGCATGCTATGGGTGTGCGCGAGGTATCTCGTCCATTAGCTCACATTAGCCGTCATTAGCTCACTTTGTAAGGCCCTAGCGCCATTTCCGCACTTTCGAGCCGCGACAACGGCACAACTGTGATACTCGCAAGGCTACTCTATCCTACCCACACATAGATTGTTCGACATGACCCCATCTGGGGTTGTTGCTCTAACTAATCCCTTCAGTAGAGCTGCAGTTTATCACTGCCATACCCTAGTGGCCACATTTTCTGCTTCGATTATTTGAATAATTTGTGCTCCATTTCAGGTTCATTGCTGCTTTTGTGATTCTTGTGGTCTTCGCCGTGATCTGCTCTCTTGTCACAATTAAGGGTGAGTCAGAGTAACTCAGTTAGTATGAGGCTAGCAAGTAACATCTTTTTGTGGCTCGAGAACTCGAACAGGTAACCGTGCTCTAGTCTCAACACAGTTAGGCTTCTAACCTAGAACCTGACCCGCTTTCTTTAAATCGCTCGCCCATGCATGGTTATTGAAGTAAGGAGCTACACTATAACTGTCTCGTCCGATTTCGGCTTCACAGCCACCTTTTGGCATCTCTGATTTCATAATTGTTTAGCTCTAAAATATCGTAATCGCCTTCTTTTAAGGAACCTTCTACGTTGACTGGGTCTTGTCAAAGCCGATTCTCTCAATACTGGGCGTGGCGAACGCTGGAATGGGAATCGCAGGTGCTATGGGAGGACTGGTACTGCTCGGCGTGCAGTATAACGACATAGTGGCTGTGATGCCCTTTCCTCGTAGTTGGTGAGTCCTTCACAGGCTTTATTGAAAAACTCGCTTTCTCAGCAAGGTCATCCCTTGCACGATCAGTCTAGCAACGACTGCCCCATAAAAATGCTTCCAGCTGTCGGCACGGATAACATGTTTCTGATGGTGGCTGCAGTGAAAAGGACTTCACGGGTCCTACCAGTCGAAGAGCGCATTGGCGAATGCATGGCTGACGCCGCTGTGTCCATTCTCATCACTGCACTCACTGGTAAGGTTTTCCTTTCTTTTAGGTCACCAAAATTATTTACTTTTGCAGAACTTCTTGCGATTATTGCTCAGTTCGTGCGATATATTGCTCTATGCATTTAATAAAGTGGCTAAGACACGGTATAAAATGCACTGAAGTCGGATAATACAGCGACGGAGCTGTGCGGCGCGATGCTCATCTTTGTGCAACGGGTTGGCTCCAGATCGTGTTATTCTGCCTAATATAAAAAGCTAATGGTCAATTAATATTGGAAGCTGAAGTCTGAATTAACGCGTGCTTCATTGGCGAATCATGGAAAAATATAATGCAAATCGGCGCTATCGCATGATACGGGGCATTTCTCAAAGGCAAAGTCCAAAAGATGGCAGAGACTTCGAGGAAAGTAGAGATGCTCACACGTTCTGGAGTCTCTTGGGCACCCGACAAGAGGCCCGTCGCGTGGCAAGGAGCCCTAGAGTCAGCAAACGGGTCAGCAGCGCGGCAAGATTTCGCATTCGTGTTAAAGCAACAATCCAGGAACGAATTTGCGGGCTAAAAGCACCTATATTGAAGTTGTAGGTGAAAAGTGGGCGAATAGAAAAAGAAAAGTGAGGAAAGCGCCTAACTGGGGCTTAGACAGGGGCACCCCCTCTGCCGTTCAGCGATGGGGGAAGACGTGTGTTGGACGAGTTGTCCAAATCTGCTCGCAGTAATGCGCTTCAATTGCGATTGCTTGCAAATACTTGGCTGATTGCTAGCAACTGTAATTGAAGCGCACGCTGAAATGAAACCTTGAATCGAAGGGGACACATTGAAAATCAAATACATTCGGCATCGAATTTTCAAAGGATAGACCTCAAATGGTCGCGGCGGTCCCGCAACGACCGCTAGTCAAGCATGGACTCTGTACAGCGTATGTTGAACGATCCGCCCTGGAATGAGCGAACCGCCCCCTTCGAGTGAATTTCGACCCCTTCCAGCGCATTTCAGAGGTAGGTTTTGAACTCAGTGACATCTCCTATGAACTTTAGTTGGGCTGGGGCATGTTTTCACCGCCTAATGACCAAGTGGTTGAAACCCTGCCTGGACTGTTGCTTTAAGTGAATGTCCTACGTAGTCATCGCGCAGCTCGCGCTGCAAATCATTCGCTGGCCCTTTATTCTTGCCGCGTAGCGAGTCATCCTTCGGGTACCCGGAGTCTCTCCACCCTTCTTGAGGCTTACGTTAGTCCTTTATTTTACCTAGAAGGAGATCTTTGACGCTGTGTCAAATGCATGTCACCACATTACCCCCGCGTCTTGCGATTGCGCTTGCAAATCTATTAATTCTCCATTTATTGGCCTACCTGTTCTATTGAAACTATAGTTTTCCCAGTTCTGAACGTTACCGTTAGCTTTTAGATGCCTTCTCATTCGGCGTCGGCACGATAACTACGATCCCAGCCGTGCAGATATTTTGTATCTATACCTGCTGTGCCCTTGTGCTCACTTTTCTGTACCAGGTGCTTAGAATTTACCCAAGCATATAGATGTGTAAAACTTGAAAGCCAAAAACGAGGTTTTAGATCACATTTTTCTGTGCGCTTCTGTCGCTGGCCACGAAATGGGAAGCAGAAGGTCGACATTGCCTGTGGCTAAAGGCTACGATACCACCAAAGGTAACAGGTTCAAGCCAGCAGATCCACATTTCTCCTCAGTACTAAGATTTCTACTCATTCCAGGTGGCCGCATCGGCATCAACTCGCTTGCTCTGGCTCGGTTCACGTACACATCCTGATCCAACGCATGAGTCGAATCGCAAGCGTTGTGCTGCTACGAAATTCTTCCAGGATTGGTACGGTATTTACCTTTGTCAGCCAGATTACAAAAGCAAGTTACGCATTAATCAGCAACTGTGAGGGTTTTTAGGTACGCGCCCATTCTCATGCAACCGGCAATCAAAGCACTCGCCGCTCTCTGGTACTGTATCTACGTTGGATTCGCTATTTATGGTTGTTTCCATCTCAGAGAAGGACTCGAGCCGGTCAATCTCTTGGTACGACGTTCAATCTATACGTAATAAGCCTTCTGTAAATATATGAAAGCCGAACGGGGTGAAAGTGGAGTTCGGAGCAGAGCACATCATTGTGCTTTGAGATAAGGATAAGAGCGCTTAGACCCGCGGATTGATTTGGAATATACTTTCATAACTACCTGGGCCCTCATGTCTGTGCAGGAGGGAGACATTAAAGTGAGTGAGCCAATAGCTGTACCTGAGACAAAGCCTTAGGGCAAGGGAAGGGACTTTAGCGGTGGGTGTGAGCAATTTTTCTCAATGGCGTTTCTCTCCTCTCCTAGGTTAGTCCTAGTGCCACTTACCATGGGCCCTTATTTGAATGTCCCCCTAAGGACATGAGCGCTTACTGGTGTAACGCGGAAATGAACATTCTTGCCAAGTCTAAAGGTGGAGGAATCCCAGGGGTATGATAGCCGCCAAAATTGCCTGAGATGTGAGCAGAATGTGGGGATTAGGACACAAACCGGTCCTTATTGAAAGTACACTTAAATGAGTTGTTTACTCATTACCTTATCGTAAGTGTTGGAGCGCCCAGAGGAGTGTTTTCTAGGACTGAAAAGGTAACTGTGGATCTCCCCCAACCCCATTTTCACTGCCAACAGTCACCTGAGAAGTTATAGATTTTGAAATATTACGTCAAAATCTATGTTCAGGATTAATATCAAGCGAAAAATTCACATTTGCTACTTTTACATATCCCTCTATGATCCCATTTGGGATGACATTTATTTTTGCCTTTTCAGGTGGACGACTCCTATGCGAAGCCTCATTACCTCTCGCTGGAGCGGCACTTCTGGCATTACGGTGCTACTCTTCAGGTGAGAAAGATTGTGCCTGCGATACGGTCCTCTCTACCCACGGGCGCTATAAGCTGAACCATAGAAAGTGCCGTGTCTTCTTGGGAAACTTACTCAGTTTTAGCCTTCTTATGCCATACCAAGGCCACTTCTTGACATCCCTTATTTTGGTCTTGAACCGGTATAAGTATCCTGTGAGAATCAAAGTTGCCCGATCCAGTCCGACCCCCCGTAGCGTTTCTTTCACCTCACTAGAAGATTCAGTGATTACCAATTCGTAAATTCCAGATAGTTGTGAGCAGAGCTCCAGACCTGCGTATTCGTGAAGAGAGTCCAAGATAAAACTCGATGGTCCATCGTTTGGCACCTCATCCCAGCATCGTGATCAAAGTGTTCAATTCTGGTGCACGAAATGAGCGTACTATCGACGAGCTTTTGACACCACCATCAAAGACGAGGTGAGCAGCTCCAGCTCAAGCTTCGCCGAACTAGTTGCGACTCCATTTGTTTTCTGACGAACTTTTGATGAATTGCTGGTGTTTTCAAGTAATTTTTAATATCACCTAAAATAAATCAAAAGTTGTTTACTCACAATTTTGAGAAGGAATGTTCACAGCTTGGAAGAGAAAGTCTTTACATTTGGGTATATTTTCACTTTGGGGGGGGAGCCTTTCTTCGAAAATAAGCGAAGAGGACTTAAAGCCGTCATATCCATGTTCTGTTAATGTTCCAGGCATTTTACGAGATGGCATCACATTATCTCTACACACATGACGCTGACCCATGGATGGAAGACGTGAAGTGGACCCTTGATGAGCACGAACGGCCGTACATTTCCGCATTCAGGTGCGTGACTGCTTGTCTCGAGAGAAAAGCTCAGTTAAAACACGGGTCGGGATTCGGTGCCTGAATCAGTCCCTCCGAGAGTAGAAAGATTGGTCTCCAAGCAGGCGTGGCAAAGGCGCTAAGGCCATGCCTTCTATCAATCGCGGCATACGTGGCGTCTGCGCCCTCTCGCGCACAACGTGCTCTCTCGCGTTTTCCCTCCTCGCAGCGCTGTGTCTCTCCGTCATACCACGGCCGACCTCACAAGGGAATTTCAGTGTTTTCTATGGTGCTTTTTGCTTTTTCTCCTCACTAATGTTCCTCATTGCACTTCTTGTCTAATTTTTGAACAAAATAACGCATCAATTCAATCCCGACTCGTGCCTTTAAGGGCAAGGATCAGAAGTTTAAGGCAGAAAAAAGAATGTCGTTGATTGGCTCGCTCTCTAGAACAAATTGACTGTGCATTTCACAGTTCAAAGTTGTAGACAAACCGCAATATGAGACCTACTGGGTATTTAATGGGCTTGTAATGGGCTTGAATGACCAAATCGAATTGAATTGTTTCGAATGCAACCTGAGCAACTTTTAGCCGTCATTTCGATTGGCAAATGGTTACCTGTCCGATTTTATCTGGATCGTGAGCAAATTTTGGCTTGATAGGGTCTAGACATGTTCTCATAGCTAAAAGATGGAAATGGATTCTTTCGGAAATCAGAATTCCATCAATTTGTGAGGTGGAGGAAAGCCTCTAGAGGTTCTTGCAGAGCCAATTCAAACAAGTTTTTACCGATTGCAAATTCCCTTAGTCTAGGGAGTTGGTAGAAGTCACAATTCAGTACCTTCCTTAATCGTGGATTTGCATTGAGCGCAGAATCATTTACATTTCTTTTACAAAGCCTTTAAAAAATACATTAAAGGCATGCCCCAGGATCGCACTGGTGTGGCTCTTGCACACGAATGTGAATGTATCGGTGCCAAGTGGGCCGGCAGTGAAGAAAAAAGGAAAAGAATCCGTCGAAAACGCTCAGGTTGAGGGCTCACTCACCTTCCTAATTGGCTGTGCTAAAGGAACGAGAGACTAAGCGCGAAGAGGAGAGTATGGGGCGAGAGAGCGCATCAGATGAGAGAGCACCAGACAACGGCCTGATAAGAGAGCTCGTTCGCTGCAGCTCGAGCAGCTTACTTTGCAAGCCCAAAGCGTTCTTGTCGGTCGAATTCCGTGCACGTGAACGCCACATTTGTGATTGTCCCCTAGGGTTCTATACTTCTGACCGAAGAGAAGAGTTCACACGACCTCTGCCTGGGTTGTGCCTTTAAGTTTTATCATATGTAATAGTAGCATATTTAGGTTCCTGATTGGAATGCGAGACATATCTAGCACGACCGAGCAGCAGAAAGCCACGAAAAGTTTTCGCCAGGTGAGAACGCGGCACATTTTCCACAGCCAGTTCGCGTCAAGTGTTTTCCAGTGTCTTTCATAATGGAAAACAATTGTCCTAAACCGGATCGCGAGTTATCCTGATCCGCACCAAATCTTCATTCGAACGAAATCACTGGGAAAACGAGGGCGAGGGGGTGAGGGGTAATGAGCCTTAGAAATGAATGTGGTGGAGTTCACATCTCAAAGGTCGTCCGTCTCATGGGGTTTCAAAGCTTTCACATGTAATGAAAGTGAAGCGGCGCTTTTCTCCTGAGAATTTACTTGCCTTTTTTTGGGCGTGTATTTTATAATTTTATCTTGTGGGGAACATTTTGTTCAATACAGGACTCAAAAACAATGCAAGTTTAGTGAGAGTGTCTTTCTTGGCGACATGCCATAACCAGCTATTACATGCAATAATAGGGCTTCAGGGCGGAAGTGGTGTAATGGCAAGTGGGACGCTTACCACACGAGCGGTCGGGAATCGAATCTTAAGTAGTGCAGTCGTCCAGGCCTTCCATCCCTCCGGGGTCGGTTAATTGGTACCAGACTTGTCTGGGAGGATAAAAACACTGACTTGTACATCGGCTCCCCCGCAAGTCATTGTATAGGCCACATCGCATTCAAACGCCACTACGAATGTACAAATGGAAGTAGAATGCGTGCCGCATCCCAAAAAGGGATTGATCAACGGCAAATGCTTTATCCTTTTATCCTTTATAGAATTTCGACTTCTTAATTTACAACTTTTTGAATCCGGCGCAAAAAGAACCTATCAAAGCAATATGCATTAGGCTTTTTATTGATTCCCCTCAACAATTTACAACATAACTCTACCTAAAATTATTCCTCTATTGGCCCTCGAACTTACATGTTTCAAAAATGTAAAGGAATTGTTCACAGAAATTCTTGCATTCTTTCCCAACGTTAATACGTCAGTTGTGACCACTGCAGAGAATGTACATACAAAGTTAACGCAAGAAGATTCAGTTTCCAAAGAGAAACAACCTACGAAAACCACACTCGGGGACGGTCGCGGGTAGGTTGGGCGGAGTCAAGGGAACGCATGGAAAGAAGTGCGCTTCGGAGCGGCCACGTATCAGGAGTACATTGAAAGAATCGTGAAAACGATCGACTTCGGAGTCTAGAGGCGAAATGATCGGAATAAAGGATGCAGTAGAAAAGAGAAATGTTATTGCCATAGGTGGAAAAGGCCAAAAGAGTTCTTAGTGAAGGCACTTTGAGAACCAAGTGGAATCGTTCCCGTCGCCAACATTTGTGACAGATGTACGGCGGGAATTTGAACGCATAATGTCCTTCGGTTTTTCGAATTGTTTACCAAACAAATGCAATTTTTTTTTGTTCTTTTCGTTCTTATCGTGAATGATGGGTCTCAAGCCAGTGATTATGGGTAGAATAATGATTTTTTCGTGGACAATTCCTTTAATGTGAATTTTGGCCCTTTCCTACTATCGATGTTCATGTTACTTCAGAGAGCTGTTTTCATGTAAATAGACCTTTTCAGGTAGCAGCGATATTTCCTGAATACAACGTGACTACTTTCATGCCACTATGGCTTTTCACTGACCAGTACGACTTGGTGGTACCGAATACGGTGAGCAGCACGTTGAATTTTTCACTCTTTGGCACTCTGTCGATTGTAATCTTTCAGACAGAGTAATTTCCTCAATTTCCAGGTCCAAGACATCGTCATTGCGGTGCTTTGCATGCTATTCATAGCATTCCTTCTGATTCCGCAACCATTTTGCGCCCTCTGGGTAGCTTTCACCATTGGATCCATCGATCTGGGCGTCCTCGGCTACATGACACTCTGGGGTGTGAATCTGGTACGTATTCAATCGGCTCATAGGTTTACAACTCTGAGTCATAACTTACAATTCAAACAAGCATTCTGTGAACTGGAATAGAAAGGCTAAGTAAATACTTGGTTCACGAGCCCTGATTGCACTAATTAATTCCATTGAGTTAAAGGCGAAGTCCAGGGTCAACAAGGAGAAAGAAATCCCTTCGTTCAGGAGCGGCGAACCGAATCAGCATTAAATATGGGCGGAGGCAGCAATGAGTGTTGGGGGGGGGGGTGGGTGATGCTGCGTACTAGGGCCTTACCATTAGCGCCTCGGCCTTGTCAGAATCAACGCAAAACTTGTGTACATTTGTACTCTTCGCTTCCGAACCACTGCAATTTTTTCGGGGGAAGGCGCAATTTTGACCAGAAATCCCGGACCTTGCCCTTAATTTGCAGTTCTCAAGGAATCAATACCAGGGTAAAATTTTTTATGCTTTAGGATGCAATTTCGATGATAACGATCATCATGTCCGTTGGATTCTCTGTGGACTACTCCGCCCACATCACCTACGGCTACGTGATCTCGAAAGAACCTGACCCACGAGACAGAGTTCGCGATGCCCTCGGCGACCTCGGCTGGCCAGTTGTTCAAGGTCTGTCCATTATTAACTGAATCTAGTGGAAATGCCGTTGTTGACTGAAAAGCTTCACCTACAGGCGCTGCTTCGACAATCCTGGCCGTAGCGGTTTTGGCTGATGTGCCTGCTTACATGATCGTCACCTTTTTCAAGACGGTTTGTATATTTTTGGCTTTCGATTTGGAGTTTGTTCAATGATGGTGAATCAGTGTGATTGCTGGAATGTAATAGCGGAACAATACGACATAATCATTGTAGACAGCGGTGCGAAGGCGAAATTCAAATCGAAATGCTCTCAAGTGAAAATTGAAGAGCGCATTTCAGTCTATCGAAAATTCTCGTATCTTCTCCACCGATGTATGGGACGGTAGTAAACGTACCTAAACTCTCTTTGACGGATAATCCTGAGGTGTTTGTAATTTGGAGATGCAGGTTCCTCCGATGGGTTCCGATTCCGTGAGGTACGGTTCCAGCTCAGCAAGGCCCTCGGCGAATTTTGGACCATCACGAGCAAGTCTAAAACTCTCAAACTCTCGTCGGAAGGGTTCTTCAGAGTCGGAGTTATAGTCTCTGGGAAGCTACCCATCAGTTAATCGATTGAAGAAGTCGGCTTCAGTAGCAGCTTCAGACTGGGGCGACTACGGTAGGCCTCCTTAAGCTCGAGGGTGATGGCAAATGTTGTCATACTGTGAAGGCAGTGGGAACAGTAGAGGGAGAACCTGCTTCCTGCCTAAGGATGGAGAACATCTTAGAAATATTTTGCTGCAGAACCTCTATCAGCAGCGATGAAAGGCTTGCTGGTGTGCGCCATGAAAAATAGAAATGATTTTTTCGACCCCCTGTGCATCGTTTACCTGGCAAGCCGATTCACAATCAGTTATACTCACCGTACCGAACGAATCTTCCGATGTGCTGGTGGTCTGGACCGAGAGTGTGACTGACCGTACCCATGGAGAAAGCAAGGCTCACAGGCAGACCCTCCATCCGGTGAGCTGACCCTCTATTGAAGCCAAAAGGCGGAGCCGACGGTGGCGCAGAAGAGTTTGAAAGAGAGCAGTCTGGAAGAGTGCGACCTGCGTTTCTGGCGTGTCCGGGAACGAAAAAAAAGCGGAAAGGGGCTTAAAACGGAAATTTCGGATGAATCTCATACTGGTCAGACGACTACACGGAAAAATCTGTGGGTTGGTCATTCTGGGCCATAGGCCATGCTCGTGGTAGGGGGTCCACTTGCAGGCACATCGTCTTCGGCATTTGGAAGGTTCAAAGCTTATTTCACTTCTAGACATTGCAAATCTCTAATTGCAGGTATTCCTGGCGATCTCGATTGGATTAATTCATGGCCTCATCTTCCTTCCCTGATGCTGTCGCTATTTGTTCGAGGTAACATATTTAGTCCTAATTTGAAGATATTTTCGAGAACTCATTCGTTTTAAGGTTTCTGCACAATCGGCTCCCGCAAACTGGACGACGAACCTGAATCCGTGGCGATTTCGACGAGAGCTCCTCCTTCTGTAAGCGATTGTTCAACGTTGCAGAAACGCCATCCGCCGCCTGAAACTCCTCCTCCACGTCCACCGATGCTTCCACCCCCATCGTTTCAGCAACAAGTATAATTTCCCAGCTGAATTTCGACCTATGAGCCATTTGCGGGGTTCCAACCCGTGGCTCGAAATGAAGTTTGCTGACGCCTTCGACTCATCTACGAATGTCGTCGATTCTGGATGCACCTCCACTCGTACCTACGAGACCGCCAAGCTCCGCTCAACAGCCACCCGACAAAACCTTCCTCCATTACCGCCCGAAAAATTTCAAATTTTAGTATTCCAGATTTATTATGAGGATTTATTGTGGCCTTTGAGCTTTCACTTTGAATTCTGCTGACGAGCTGTGCTTTGAATCTTTTACTATAGCGGGTCTCGTTTCACGTGTGGTGCTACTATCTCTATATACTTTCATCACCATATTTATGCTTGTATATACTTATTCCGGCGCTATCGCAAAATACAGGGGCATCTTCTAGGACAGTGCCAAGTAGGGGGCGAGAACTTTGGGGAAAATGGAAAATTGCTCACACAACTTGGAGTCTCTCCCTCCGCCTGAGGCTTAGTCCCTTTCTCAACAAAAAGAAGATGTTCAGACGGGGTCTTTGAATATACTGCCACCACAATGCCCCTCCTATCTTGCGATAGCGCCCTGTCTTAATTGTATTCCATATTTTTAACAAGTTTATGACATCAAATGATTATTTTGTTGCCTTTCAGTTTCTTTACTACATATGTTAACCTTGAAGTCATTTCTTTGTCTAGGTTATTGATAGTGTTTCTAAAAACGAGCCTCGAATGGCGGAAATAAATAGTCAGTTGCGTGCATTGACAATCTCTATCAAGAGTGCGCGGTCAGCTGTCGGTGTTTGCTGGCGCAGCGCCTGCGCTCGCGGTTAATCACGCTCGCAACCACGGGTTCGAGTGCGGCCCCCACGTCAACAAATTCCAGTCAATCGCACGGTTGACTGTTCCGATGGCTTGGGAAATTATTTGATCGTACGATCCTTTCTCGGGTCTTATGTCCGAGGAGGTTTGCACAGTGATCGACATTTTATAGCGGACCTATTCCCTAGCAAAGGACACTCATTATTAGCGGCGAAGCCTCCGATAAGAATTGGAGCAGTTGGAAATTGAAATCTTGAGTGAATAGAAATGAGTGAAACAGTTGAAGCAAATAAATGGTCATTTTCTTCTCAGGAACATTTCAACCAAAGTCAAAGTCAAGCCAGCCATGTAAGAAAAAAAAACAATAAATATGAGAAAAACTGGAGCAGTTATTATTCCGACGATTTAAGGAATATTGGCGAAATTTCATTCACAAGCAGAAATGGCTCAGTAAAATGTGATAGATAAAGGGAGAAAAGGATGCGCCACGCGTTCGGCTCCTTTGGACCATGAGAACACCAAGAATCTTGGACATGGACGTGGACACCTTTTCTCCATGTAAATCCTGATCCGTGGAGGTCAACCTTTGCTATCAACTATCACTGCTCAGATCCTTTGCAACAGAATCATCGTACGAAAAGATGGATTGCGAGCTACCGATGAGTTGTTATCACAAGAATGCTGGGTTGTGAACAAAAGTTTCGCCCCAGACGGGATTCGAAAACCCGCACCCCTCGTTTTCGTGCGGGTTCGAATCCCGTCTGGGGCGAAAGTTTTTGTTCACAACCAGCATTCTTGTGAAACATTCGCAAGGCGAACTGCGGCCAAAAACAGCAGTTAACAAACAAAAACAAAGGTCAAAATTTGTTGTTAGAAATTACTAGATTAGAACAGAGGATGTCAGGAGAGAAAACGAAATCCGATTTGTAAGGGGAGAAAGAAAGAAAAGGCTCAAAACGTTCGTGAAAAGATTATCAGGATTCACCTGAATTACTGGGTTGTCGGAAGGGTTTCCTGTCATTCTGAACCAAAATTTTGAAATTTGTTTGTTTGTTTGTTACATGCGCAAGCACATGTCATGGGAACCCACACAGCAAAAGAGGTATGGTAAAAGAAAGTCAGGGAGTCAGAATGAGTTCTTAAACAAATAAAACAAATAAATCACTAGCAGGAATTGTCTTGAAGCTAAGATAACGATATACAACCTTTCTTGAAGCCTGCAGAAACAATATGGAACCTGCATCTTTTTACTCAATCTTGTGTATTCAAAACCAGCCCTGAAAGTAAAAAAGCTGCCGCCGCAAAACAGACTTAGGTTGCTGAGGCACGAAGTTTGAGCCTTTTATCATTTTATTTTTATTATTTTAAGTTATTGTTTGTACCAATGTGCATGAATGCGATGAGGCGACATATCAGCATCGTTATCGATCAACATGTATGTCGCTGATCAGGTAACTTACGTGAAATCACTGTCAAATAAGATCCTGAATTTGTGACACAACTATGTAGCTCACGACCTTATATGCGTTAAGGGCGGGATTCGGACACAGTGGCGAATAGTTTAGGGTGATTCTGGACTTAAGCCAAAGACGGTTCAAGAAACAGTTAGGGCGAACACAAATTGCTCACATCGTTCCTTGAAATCCCTTCCTCTCCCTAAGGCTTAGTCTCAAGCGCAAGGCTCGCTTACTAGGGCACCCCCTCAACGACAATGAGTGCCACCACAGTTCGCTAAGGCAGCTCTGTAGGGGGTTTTGTTTATCGACATGTTCGCCGTTAATGAGCAGGGATAACGCGGAATGAACTGAACAGTCATTTTTGTAAGGTAAGGAAAGCCTCTGCCAAACAGAATATTGGGCCATACTGTAAGCTGCGTGGTTCTTGGTTATGTTGATATATGGCCTTACGAAGGGGAGCACAAAAAAGAACTTGGGAAGAAATCAGCATTTGCGCAAAAAATAAATGTAATGGGTGTGGCATACATAGTTGCCACGACGTCTGATGAGCTACAAAACAGCGGCATAACATAGTTGCGCAGCCGTTCATGTGTGAAGTTTATGATGACGGCAGAAACTGATGGTAGTCCATTAGGCTTGCAAAGGGTATATATGAATACGGGGTAGCAAAAGTGGATATTTCAAGCATCGACATTTTTTGCATTGGTTGCCTTTGCAATGGCAGGTAGGCATCGAGGATTAGAACTTGCCCTGTGTATGCACTTAGTAAGGTCGCAGCGACGCCATGGCGAGTGCAGATTATAGCCAGGCTTGGACTAGGCATATTAGTAGCAGCAACCCCAGGGTACAATCCTTTCGCCAGCTTCACAAAACATGAGCAGCTATCCGCGAGATGGCTTGAAATTCGGCGTCGAAATCAGTTTCCTTGCCCTGCAACCCGATCCCCCGTCCCCCGGCCATGACACTTTCCTGCGCAGGATTCACATATTAACCCACTTTCTCCGTTCGCTTACGCCTAAATTGTCAAGCTAAGCGGTTGTCTTTTTAGAAATGAAAAACAAGCAGGTACCTCTACCTCTAGTTAGCGGCCTTTCAGATCATATGGTATCTATGCTCCATATCTTCGCATCTCCAAGGCGACGAAAATGATCTGCTGAATCGTAATATCTAGAGTTCCCTCACCAAGATTTATCCTGGGTTTCTCCCTGGTGTCACGCCGGGGATCTCTTTATACAAGAGGTGCTAATTATCCACTTCCAATGGCTGAGCTGCCCATAGTATGCCGTTCAAAACAAGTCGCCGTTTTTGAACTAGCAGAAACAAACTTTTGCCGTGTCTGGAAGACAGTTCGAGGGGGTCCAGCGCCTCATATTTGTTTTCCTTGCAGTATTTGCTTGTAGTGTTGAATTTAATTTCTAAATTCTAAAAGGATTTGTCGAACTGCGTGAGCTGTTAAGGAACACTTAGGAAATCTTAATAGTACTCCATGCTGGTGATACAATCGCTATAGCGTGGACGGTTACTGAGCGGGGGGGGAGAGGCAAAATGTCTTCGTTCCTCCTATTTAGAATAGATTTTTAGCAATTATACCAGAGTTTAAACCGAATGGTTCTCAGCTGGAGAGTTTGAAGGAACAGCATTTCACTTTCTTTTTGTTAAAAGCAACAGTTCAGGGAGGGTCCGAAAATTTCAATGCCACTACTACTGAGGGATACACGAGCCCTAGTGAAGAACATATGCAGTGGAAATAATAAACGAACTTACCTCAGAAACTCAAAAACAGGGTGGAAAGTCCCTCAAACATGGGTGTTCTTGGGGATTTCCCCAATCCCGCCCCCTTGCCGGCCGTCATTGGACGCGTCGGCAATCGTGCTCGTTTTGGGACCACAGGGAAAATTGATTGAAAAATGGAGCGCGTTTACAGCGGGCACGTTCAGACAACTCGTCCAACGTGCGTCTTTATCCATTGCTGAGCGGCAGAGGGAGAGTACCTGTCTAAGACCCTCCCCGACGTTTTTTTCCAGTTTTTCATACATTAATCGTCTGGTTTTCATCTACAACTTCATTATTGGTGGTTTTTTCCCGCGAAACCGTTCCTGAACTGTTGCTTTAACTGCTGTTTTTGGCCGCAGTTCGCCTTGCGAATGTTTCACAAGAATGCTGGGTTGTGAACAAAACTTTCGCCCCAGGCGGGACTAGAACCCGCACCTCTCGCTTTCCGGGCAAGTGCGCTACCAGTTACGCTTTTTCTAACTTAGCTTTTCATGGTATACGAAATAAGATGGTTGGAATGAAATGGTGCCCCGGTAGCGTAACTGGTAGCGCACTTGCCCGGAAAGCGAGAGGTGCGGGTTCTAGTCCCGCCTGGGGCGAAAGTTTTGTTCACAACCCAGCATTCTTGTGAAACATTCATAGTATCAGAAAGCTTTCATAATAGTCCTCCACCCCCGACGACATCACAAGATTTCGCCTAAAGGACATTGTGAATAGCACGAGTTCAACGAGGTCATAGACGGATCGTGGACCATTGTGACGTTATCTGAACACCGGTTACGACCCGCTCCCTCATGGAACAGGGCTGGAATCTGAATAAATAGACAAATCGATCATGTGGCAGCACAGCAGGCACAGAAACTTCGGTTGCTGAAAAAACGCATAGTTAAACAAATTGTCGATCCATCGGGTCGACATCAGTGCTGTTCAACATTTAAAGCTCGTTCACACTTGACGATCGATATCCACACTCGAAATGGAGACTGAACTGCAAAGCAAAGTATGAACCGACTCCTGAGGCAGGTGTCGGAGCCCGCGATTCATCGCGCAGGTAGTGGAGATTACGGAGCTACAAGTGGTGCCTCTATTCTAGGTATGCGCGGTCTAGGACTGTTGACGAACTCAATGCAGAAGTCATTTCGGGTCTATTCCAATTAGGGGGCATCATGATGCAGTTTTTCCAGAAAGCTACGGTAACTCCGAGCCAGGGGAGTGTAGCCAGTCTAGGGGGTGAGGGCAGTCACTTGACATGCGTGAAAAGCTGGAATGTTCGAGTTTACACTAGTTCGCCGAGAAACTGCATCATGATGCCCCCTAACTGGAATAGACCCGCATTTCTTTCTTCCTTTCTTAACACATAAACAGTCCACAGTGGAACTACATTTCGTTGGAAGGGTCCACGGAATTTGCGTGTTCTCAGAAAGTTTTCGCGCTCCGCTGACAGCTCTCTGCTCCACGGTGTCACGTCCTTTAAAAGCAGTGATTGACTATTCGGTTTGCGTTTGACCGGCTTGTACCTGTTGACGAGAAGAACTGACGAACTTTTTGGTTTGGTGAGTGATTTTCAACTTTCTTCTTTTTTCAATTGGTACATACCATTCGCTGTCAAACAGGGGCTGCGTGCATACAAGTTCTCGCAAGCTATTTCGGTTGTACGCTGACGCATAACCAAGCCAGTTTTCTGCAATCAAGCACAAATCTTTGTAATTGTTTCCCTGGAAGTTTTCTTAATGGTGTTGTCTGAATAAAGTAGTTGTGTGTGCCGCATTAGTATCGAGGGGGTACTAACCAGGGAAGGCATTCAACTTCCCATGGAACTTTGAATGAGACCCAGATATATCGATAGAGCTTCAAACGCTGATTACAAATATGGAAACTAAAACTGCAAAATGAACCTGCCAAGGAAGTTGTGAGCAGTCAAAGTTTGGCTGGAAGTAAAGCATTACATATGAACCGTGCTAGCCAGGCTTTCAGAGTCGCAGTGGAGTAGTGGTAGTGCTCTCGCTCTCCAGCCGGGAGGTCGTGCATTCTCTTTCCGTTGGAGTGCAACTTTCGAGAGCACTACCACTACTCCATGGCGACTTTGAATGCCTGGACGGTACCACGATTCATATGAAACGCTTTATTTCCAGCCAACTTTAACTGCTCACAACTTCCTTGGCAGTTCATTTTGCAGTTTTAGTTTCATATTTGTAATCAGTGTTCGAAGCTCTATCGAAATATCTGGGTCTCATTCAAAGTTCCATGGGAAGTTGAATGCCTTTCCTGGTAAGTAACCTTAATTCAGTTCTGACTAACAAGGAATGTCCTTCAGGTCGCCATGGCCGTTCTACATGAGATGTATACCACTCTATGCATTCTGACACGCTGATTTCGAATCTGCATTCCGAATCTGCTAAACGACTCTCCGAACGGAGTTATGAAGCGTAATAGCTCAGTGGTGATGGTCCGGGGTGGCAGGTAAAAGCTCGTAGGATCGGTTCCTTTGCAAATTGGTTGCTTTGCTTTTGTCTCTAGAAGTGTTGCGGACAAAAGCAAAGCAACAAACTTGCAAAGGAACCGATCCTACGAGCTTTTACCTGCCAGCCCGGACCATCACCACTGAGCTATTACGCTTCATAACTCCGTTCGGAGAGTCGTTTAGCAGATTTGGAAGGCAGATTCGAAATCAGCGTGTCAGAATGCATAGAGTGGTATACATCTCAATGTAGAACGGCCATGGCGACTTGAATGACATTCCTTGTTATGTAGAATGGAATCACTCTGGACCCGGTGAAAATCGTGTCGAGTACGTGGTCGCAGAGGTACGACCCCCCCCCCCCCCCCGAAATCGAGATCCTGGCACGACCCCCTCTAACAGAGCAAATTAATTCAATTAAAATAAATCCTGCAAAACAAATCAAAAAAAATTCTGCAAAATAATGCTAAGGACGCTTCATCTTGTCATCTATGCACGTCTTCCATCGCTGCATACTTTTGTGTACATACTGAAATATCGACTCGAGGAAAGAGGCATTAACTTTGTGTGACCTCAAGGCGAGGTTCGTTCAGAAACGCACAGAAATCCTGAAGACACGGGGTTGCGATTCAATCTTGATTCTTGCTTGAGTATATCAAAACAGCCGAGTGTATCAAAGGCCGATTCAACGGCAGCTGCGGCGCGATTGTCACTGGGTCAGATTTGCCGAAATTTCAAAAAAAAAACGTCCGAATCTACACCCTCGATGAAAAGGTTGCATTCCTCCATTTCACAACCTTTGAAGCAGCTTGAGGTAGAGTTAGATAGAGCTGGATTTCGCGTTTCCAACAAGCATCGAAATTGCTCTGGAAGCCTTCCTTGCAGAAAGATAGGGTCTGTCAAATTTCGTCGAGTAAATGTCGAGGAGCCCAAATTTTCACGCGAGTTTTTGCCACTTCAAGAGCAATATATCTCTTATATTGTAAGATCCTGAAAAAGGGAAGATAGTTTTGGAAAGCGGAAGGTTTGCGCTTCCTGATGGTCTGTTTAGTTTTCTTCTACAGCTTTTTGGTTGAAGAGATAATTGCGTCGAGGATCTATCGAGGTCGGATCCGGCCACCTGGAAATCCGCTCCCTCATTCACCATTGCAAGTGTGACTCGTTGGCAACACTCGGAATGTGTCTAGAACAATATCTTTGAACGCAAACAATAAGAATAGGAGCAATCGTCATCATCCGATTTGGTATTGGTATAAGCCATGCATCCCTCCTCCACTCACAGTTGCAGAATCGATTGAAAGGTGTTATATGATGGGGACCTTCGAACGAAACTGTATTGTAGTAGACATAGTGTGTTGTGCTATTCCTGTAACCTAAAAAACAACTTCATTTGCCCAGCGCTTTTTCTTCACGGTTGTCGTTTTTCCGACAGGGTCCCTAACAACAGCGTCATTCTCAGCGAGGTATTAAGGGAGAAGGAGCGAGTGATAGGCGGAGGAGGTGCCTTTGCAGCGCGTGCGCACATGTGGCACTCTTCTTTGCGGGGATGCACTTTCATTCTTTGTACTGCCTTCAAATACGCCCTTCTCATGAAGGTGGAGGAATGGAGCGACTGAACCTGCAAAGAAAATTTAATATCATGTTTTTTCATATTTTCATTTTCTGCTGCGCTATACCCTCTTTACCTATCTGCACCACGATACCACTGCTGTTACTGACCCCCAAGAGTACGACCCCATGGACCAGCCCAACAGGTACGACCCCCCTGTCGAGGATTTCCTCGACCGATATTCACCCTGCTCGGGATCCCCTTACCTTACTATAAGTTCGTATAATGCTTCTCTTCAGAACAAGTGTATCAACATAGGCCACACAACGCACATTGCGAGGGGAAGGCAAAAAGAGATTTTGCGCTTGTCACACATTAGCGGTTTTTCGTCGCAAGGACTTCTGTCTTTGGCGGAAGTCCTTAGCAGAATATTCTCCAAATCTCCCTCTACAAGTAGACGGAAGCTCTCTTTCACTGCTCTCACGTCTTCAGAATATACCTCTAGAGGACTTACCGCAAATGTGTATTGGTAATTGAAAAAACGTCCAGGCAGATTTACCATTGATCCTGAATCGCGTATTGAAGGACCAAAGGCTAAATGGGTATTTTCGACTATGCTACTGCAACTCAGATGGAAGGGACTGCACTAATGAGGAAAAAACATTAAACTTCAGTGGAAACGATGCAGCTCTCATTTAGTTAATTGTGTAATGTGTAGAACCTAACCATATTGTATCTTAATCGGAGAGTTTTTTAAAGTTAGCTATTCATAACCGAGTGAAAGGTTCTGTCCATCATGACACATAGCAAGGCATAGAAAGGTTAAAAGGTCAGGCGCTCAGGCCTGTAGTACACATAGAGCCTATGCTGCTCTAGCACATTTCCTGCCTCAACTCTTTTGCAAATATTTCAAGAACGATTCAGCCTTGAGATGAGCAAGAGCCCTAAGTATACCACTCGATGCCAACAGTAAGGAAACTTGTCGACTCGCTCTCCCTAGAAGGGCAGCAACTTGGACTTGATGTAGTGGTCGAGCTATCTGGTTAGATATGATCTGTGAAATATTTTGGAAACCGATACTAATCAAATTCCAACAGCTCCCCCCCCCCCCCACCGCCACTGGAACCTTGACACGTTCATGCTATAATCTTTGTTTGAGTCATCAGAAAAGTGAGGTCCGCGTCATTACTCTGTTAACCCACCTTGGAGTCCACGAAGTTGCTTCGAGAGTCCCAACTCAGTAGACCTGTGGCTCTTCCTGTCTACTCATTCCTAATCATGAAAGAAGACTTGATTATGAAACTGGCCCCTTGGGTCTGTGAAGGGGATATTTTTTATCCCCTTTGCAGACAAAACGGTAGGCTGACTTCCTCCAATTTTCCATTACAAGATTATACATTGTCTGTGACAGCACGATTTTTGTAAAGATGTTCGTTTCGAAGTACCTATTTGTAGACGTAGTAATGAATAACTCCTTAACGGAAAGTTTCAGAGAACTGCTTTCAACTAACAATGTCTGAGACGGACAAGCAAGAAACTCAAGACGAGGTGAACGAAGAGCCTGAGCCTGTGAAGGAGGAGGAGGAGGAGGACAAGAACGAATTCACTAACGTCTCAGAGCAGCTGGTACTTTTCATTTAGTTTTTCATGCGTATACAGTAGACTTGTTCAGGACTTATATCATTTCAGGAAAGAGTATTTTTCTGATAAGAGGTCTTTCAATGTTGGGTTACCATAACTACACACTGTTGTAGTAATTTGGAAGTGATGATTACTGATTAGTTATTCTAACTTATCTACGTTAAAGGTAGAACTTAGAGAGTTCATCGAATCAATGTAGAACTAGGATTTGTAATGGTGAACTAGGATACATTCACTCTTGAAATTTTGTTTCTGTTCGTTTCAATATGCCAAAAGGGGAATGAAAGGATTCAGCATAGAAGGAGGAACGACTTTGTTCCATGCGAGCTTCTTTTTAATTGCTGTTTTTCACCGAAGTTCGCCTTGCGAATCTTTTTGAAGAGCTGAGTTGGAGTGAAATGGTGCCCCGGTAGCGTAACTGGTAGCGCACTTGCCCGGAAAGCGAGAGGTGCGGGTTCTAGTCCCGTCCTGGGGCGAAAGTTTTGTTCACAACCCAGCATTCTTGCAAACTGTTTCAGCTTGGCGTTATTTTCTTATTTTTGCTGAAAACTTTTCGAGGGAATTTTTGCTAAAGATGAATCCTACTACTTTCACGTTGATATAAGTCTGCTCAAGACAAAGTGGGGATGGTTTTTACATGTCATCCGCATGTGTTGGGCGACTTTCGGAAACGCTGCAACTTATTTCGGCGATTAGCTTTTAGAATTTTGTTATTTATTTTTCAATGGGTTTGGCGTCAATCAATGGTCTGCAATTTTCCGCACGTTTCGGTATGTAACAATTTAGTTTTTTGGGTGTGGAACCTACACGCGAGCAAAAGGACTGAAGGGTATGAATGAAAATTGAGTTCAGACCTGCAAAAGCTGCTCGCGAAATCGTTAAAACATGCGGTGGAGGTACAAGTGGAACCGGAATGCCTGAAGAACGTGAGCGTTTCAGCTAGGGCTTGAATCACAAGCAGTGTTGGCTACCCTCAAGAAATCGATCGAAAAGTTGACTATTTTGTGCTCGCGTTCAAATTCTATACCCAAAAGAATAATCATGGGTTATATGTGATGTATTTTACTTTATCCCTGGGATTTTTTTTTGATTTTCTCTGGGACTTCTTTGGGATTTTCCAAAGAAAAAATCGTCAGAAATGATCACCGAAACTTCAAAATACGATCGGCCAAAACAGGAGGCGGAAAATTTCTGGCAACCGGGTAAATGTTCAGTTCAACCGCGAATGAATTTCCTTTTGCAACTTTATTCCGGGCCAATTCGGAAATCTTACAAAGCAAGGAGATTGAGTGAATGGATCGTGAAAGAAGTAAATTGATTGATATCCATCCATCCCATACCAGTTCTCATAACAATTCGAGAAATACTTGGGTTTCTTGCTATCGAATGTTCTGTAATTTCCATTTTCACGTTCAATGCTCTATAGATATTTGCCTTTTTTGATTTTCATAGCGCGGCATTAAGCAGTTAAGCAGTTTATCAATGATATTGACGCAGCTGTTTATCAGTTTATCACTTTCAAAAGAATTTTCCCATTCCAAAAGAAAATCTTGTCGAATGAGCTAGTTAAAAGGGGCATATTTAGAATCATTCCAGGTTTAGAAAATCCACTATAATAGGATAGCTTTCACGACATGAAAGGGAATCGTGACAGTCACTCGATACATCTTCATTTAGAATTAACTTCCCTCATCCTTGTGTAAGATTGCTACTAGTATCCGAAATATTTCCTGCTGGCGCCTTTTCGTCAGAAAGTATTTATGCTGACTTAGGAAGGAAACGCCTGATTGGTTTCACTTCACTAAAAAGGCCCTTCTTTTCTCATTTTAAATGCGTTCAATAAATTCTACTGATAGGAACTTTTTTTTTCAATTGGTCACACTGAGCGGAATGTCATTTTCAATGTTCAGGTGCTTCATCCTTTGAAGCAGAAGTGGACATATTGGTATTTAAATGACGATCGTCAGGCTTGTTGGGAAGATCGTCTCAAACCTGTTTGCACGTTCAGCACTGTTGAAGAATTCTGGGCGTAAGTACTTGGATGTCCTATTTTTATGCAGACATGGCGTATGCCAATAGCTTCTCATGTTGTTGAATTTGGATTTTAGGCTGTACAACAACATTCGGCCTCCATCTGGCCTAAGTTGTTTGTGTGACTACAATGTATTCAAATATGGCATTCAACCAATGTGGGAAGTGCCTGAAAACCGCAAAGGAGGGCGCTGGCTGATTACGGTTAGTTGCTGCTCAAATATAGCTCAAAGCAACAGTCCAGCAGGGTTTTACCTTCGACACTAATGGTGTGGAACGATGCGCTAGCCCTAGTCAAGAACATAAGAAGTGTGACTGAACAAAAAACTCACCTTGGAAAGCCGCTAGAAAGGGAGCTGAACGCTTCGAAGTGGGTTAGGTGCTGAATCGGCTAGGGGATTGCAGGCGATTGGCTTACTTGTTTACGGACTACTTGATTTTTCCTCAATGGTCCTGCCGCGATGGCTAGAGCACAGACGATTAGAGAACGGGTGAATGCCCTAGGACTAAGCCTTGGAGAGGAGAGGGACCCGCGAGAGAGCGCAGAGGCGGTTTAAAGGGCTGAGTTCAAGTAGTCCGTCGACCGGCGACTGGCAACCACGCCCACTTCGAAGCCGTTCAGCTCCCTTTCTAGCGGCTTTCCAAGGTGAGTTTTTTGTTCAGTCACACTTCTTATGTTCTTGACTAGGGCTAGCGCATCGTTCCACACCATTAGTGTCGAAGGTAAAAACCCTGCTGGGACTGTTGCTTTAACATACTCTCACATTCATGGAAATCTGCCATTATCTATTCTGAAACCACTTCAATTGATTTTTTGACTTTTGTTTCACATAACGTTTTAGATCGAAAAAGGGCGACCAGGTGAGATAATGGATTTGATTTGGTTGGAAATTCCTTATCGCAATGATTGGTGAACAGTTCGGCGAGGACATGGAGCTCATTTGTGGCTTAGTTTGTAACGTTCGTGGCAAAGGAAGCAAGGTATCTGCTAGATTTCTGACCACAAGCATCCAGACAGTTTGTAATTTTTCTTGGATTTAGATCAGTATGTGGACAAAAGACTGGAGTGCAGAGGAAGGAAACATGAGGATTGGGTGAGTACTCTGTATTTCCGTCGCGAATCACGCATACTAAGCGGGTTCGGTTTCCTTAAAGAAACCGCCGTCACCAAACCCCGATTTCGTTTGCTTCCTTGTTTCTTCACCAATGCAGGATGTTCGACAAGCTTCGCCAAGAATAACACTTCATCGGAGCAGAAGGTTCCTGCCCTCGGTTGCACTACTCCCGGTCCCTTTGACTGGTTTACAGAGTCCGAGGATCAACGGACAGTGTCAGAAGAAATGAGGCGGCAAGATGGTCACGGTATGGTTTCCCTCTGTCTGATTTGTTTGTTCGCATATCTTTAGCAGAGCTCTCTTCATTTGCAAACAAGGAACATGTTTCTTCACCCCGACGTGTGTTGTCCTAACGTCCCGCCTGCCTCATGTGTCCGTTCACAGCTTCCACATTTCTATTAATCTGCATGGAATGCGCTGGTATTTATATTATTCCCAAAATGCCCTTACAAAATTCAATTTTTCGTGCAGCTGCGTTTTTACCCAGCCTCGTTTCAGGCAAAGTTATCGATATCAGCTGTGAATCAAATGCCAGAGAGGAACTGAACTAGTCTTCGAATCCGTCTTTTGATATGCTATGAGATTATGACATAAGATGTTCAGATATGCTAATGTTGTTGATTTTAACTAATTTTTTGAAACTATTTGGTTTGAAGGACATTTTTTTCTTTTTTTGCCTTATGGGGTCCTGAAGCTGTTTCTGACTTTTTTCGGAGAGTGCACGGGTATAGCTGCGTTCTTTGTAAAAAGCGGGCTGATAGATCCGTTTAGTGTTCTCTTCGCTGAATTTTCACTATTTTGTTTCGCTTGGTTGGTTTGACAAATATTAATTGCTTCGAATAAATTAATTAGAAGTGCGTTTGCACGAATGCGACGCTCAAATTGCGACAGCCATTAGGCAACGGCAAATGTTGAAGCTGGTTTTGCAATCACGATTTTAGCAATGACACAAAAGTGGCGACTTTACAGTAATGTGATGTATGAGTTGGTTTGCTAACTACTCAGAGAGCACATTCAACAGCGTTTTACGTTTGAAAATTATCGCTTGACTGCATCTGCTTTCGACTTGTTTTTGTTGTTTTAAACTGCCGTTTTTGGCCGCAGTTCGGCTTGCGAATATTTCACAAATGCACGTGAACGAAGTTTCGAAAAACCCAGCGCGTCCCGAACTCGGCACATCTTGCGTTACCGGGGCCAGTGGTAACAATTACCTCACACGGGGCATCATTCACCTATACTCCTCCTTCATGGTTACTTGACCTTGCCAGCGACTCACACGTATTAACGTGTGAACCGCGTTAGCCGATATCAGCAATGACCGCGAGGCTGAAGCATTAGCAATGATATTTCGACTTGTTTTTCTTGTTAGCTGCTGTTTTTGGTCGCAAGTCAAAATTCATTGCTAAAGCTTTCAGCCTCGCGGTCATTGCCGATATCGGCTAACCGGCTCAACACGTTTGTGAGTGCTGAAAGCTATGGTAGTATACCATGAAAAGCTGAGTTGGGAATGAAATGGTGCCCCGGTAGTGTAACTTGCCCGGTAAAGCGAGAGGTGCGGGTTCGAGCTCAGTCTGGGGCGAAAGTTTTGTTCACAGCCCAACATTCTTGTGTGTATACTTTCGTTAGGCTGGGACCTGCTGGATGCTAGAGCACGCGAACTAGTAGACTGTTAGAGAGCAGACGGTAGCTTCTACGATGGCAACGGAAAATAAGGGGGATTGAGAACAATCCCACAAGATGAGGGCTGAGCCCCTTTTCATGCTGTAAAAGTTTGAACTTGGGAGGTCGCCATAGTAGTCGTAAACCACTATTCGGGCGAGTGGGCGCAGACGAGAGCAGCACGTCGACTTATCAAAAAATGGTATAAAGGAATGCTACCACAGAAGCTTCCCGCCGTCGTATCACCGAAACTAACGCTTATGTTCCGTTCTTTTTGCTATGCTCATGAGGCTAGGGGCCTAAGGTATCGTTTTTCTGTGGTAATGGAGGCGGAGCTTTTTCCGTGGAAGATTCCTTTAAGTAGTTCCTAGACGGTATTTGTGGTTTTACCGTGTCCAACGGGGCAGAGCTGAGAGCCTGTGCCCTATACATTTGTTGTGGAGTGATATATTGTTCGAGAAAAATTACGCAGAAGCTGAGATGTGCATGTATCTACATGGTGCCATGGTAACAGCAGGATAATTTGGTTGAAAACAAAAACAAGCACGGGTTCGACTTCCTCATACGAGAATTTTTTCTTCAACTAACTAAACTAAACATCACTTTCGCGATAACATTCACACCAAGATTTCTGGAGAAACGACAGTAAACGTGATAAGACAAGTAAAATCCTATAAGTTTGACTACTACCTTCAAACTTCAAACTCACTTCTCGCTTGTTGGACGCACCACACTCATCGCACCATCGCGAAACTCGCGTTTCCAATGCGTATTTCCTTCTACGGGCGCCATGTCACAACCGGTAATTGTCTCTTCATTATTCTTCGCCTGATACATGTGTTTTAGTAATGCTAACTGTTTTTATTCCAAACATCTGGCAGAGCCCCAATGTCGAGGTAATTCGTCGAGGTAGGTCAAGGTGTGGAGTTTGTCCGGCCCCGGTGTGTGCCATATGGTGCGATCCCATTGGCATTGGAACGCATAGCCGTAACTGTGCCGCCATCCAGAAATGGCGCGGGTACCCCACCAAGAGGCACTTTCCGCGGCAAGAAGGCAGAGTCGCGGACGAGTCGCAGCGCATGAGGGATGTGTAAGTCGTACAGTGGAACATTCTATTTAACTTGACGAGAAATCCCTACAGTACGCGCTGCAACTCGTCCCCTGACTCCCTTCTTGGCGCGCGACGGGCCTCTTGTCGGATACGCGAAATGGTCGGACAACTCGTCCGCGCACCATGTCCCGTGGCTCTCTGTTGCTTTGGCATCAGGACAACACAAGCTATCAGCTCTTTCATCTAGATCTTACAGATTCAACGAGACTTTCGAAACCTGAATCGAATCTCATCCACCAGGGGGGGGGGCATTGCGGTTTGGAGCGTTCGAAACCATAGGAAGCATAATCTTTTATTGTAAGCGTCCAGGACTAAGCTTCAGAGGAAAGGAGACTCCGCAGATTCTGGAATCGTCGTCCGTATCCCCAGGGATTCCTCCCTCCTTCCTAGGCTTTGGTCACAGCCGCTAACGTAGGTGGCCTTTTCTAAGCCTTTATGTCATCCCAGCTTAACTAGCCTTTACATTACAAACAAATTTCAGAAATAACAGAGGAAAAAATGCTGATAGCATCTCGTAACTTTGAAGGACTTTTCGAGCTCAATTGGCATCAGAGCAGACTGTGCACTGCAATGGCCCCCTCTTACCGGATGAGACTCCTGAATCATCTAATCGATCAATTCTAAAGTCCGATAGTTGCCCTCAAATGCCAATGTGATCGCGCCTAAGGGCGTATTCATAGTCGGCCGTCCGATCGTTTAAAGCGATGGCGTACAGCATTTATGCTTATCGATCGTCCAGCTCTCGAACACATCCACCGATTGATACATATCAATGCTGTGCGATCGTTACGATCGTTACGATCGACGACCGACTATGAATGCGCCATATGACCGCCTTCCCGTCGTCCACCATGCGGCCGATGCGGACGTCAAATTCGTACTTGCCCTTGCTCCTAGCCAACGAAGCTCCCCTCCAGGGTTGCTCCAGGAAATATATTTTTCCGGTGAGATAAAAAAAGGATAAAGCATTTTTTGATCAATCCCTTTTTGGGATGCGGCACGCATTCTACTTCCATTTGTACATTCGTAGTGGCGTTTGAATGCGATGTGGCCTATACAATGACTTGCGGGGGCCAGCCGATGTACAAGTCAGTGTTTTTATCCTCCCAGACAAGTCTGGTACCAATTAACCGACCCCGGAGGGATGGAAGGCTTGTTGGCCCGGGCGACTCACGACCCAGGATTTGATCCCTGGACCGCTCGCGTGGTAAGCGTGCCACTTGCCACTACACCACTTCCGCCCTATCAACAACATACACAACCGCCCAATACTCATAAACACAACATTAATTCAGGTCAAGGGAGCGTCGGATTGTCGAACGATACTGAGCCCATTACCATCCAAGATACCTTCTCTTGTTCCAAGCCGACGACCGAAGATTCCAGTTTGTATACAACCTCTGAAGAAACACAAAGAGTGTTGGCTCTCCCGTTGGTCCACTGAAACGACCTGCTCGGTCACCATTTTTTCTCATGTTCACATTCATCGCCTCTTTTTCCGTTGGTGTGATGTCTGCTGTGCAGACCGCTAAGTATATTGAACACTACTGCATACATTATTATCGCCCGTACTCATCGGCTGACCATAGCAAACACCTCGACCTGTGCTTATGATGTTCATGTTATGAAAGGCCTATTCACAGAGTAGGAATGTGTGGCGAATATTCCAGAAATGTATGGGTGTACCCTCCCTTTTTAAACGGTTTAAGCCGTTTGGACACGGTGAGCACCCGAAGTAAGCGTGAATTATAATGTTCTGCTGTAGTCACGTACAATGCGCGACGCATTGACGCGCTGAAAGCGTGTGCTCGCCTCCTACTTTATCGTTTTCTCTGCGCTGTCTC